TTTCATCAGGACATTGTAAATCATTTGACATTTGAGTAGGGCAAGTTCGATTCTCATTCTTATCTATTATCATAAAATGACCACCAGGTTGGCCTACGAGCAATAATGGTGATGATGTTTGAGGGTCCGTAGCTGTAGATAATGATGTGATCTACGTAACTTTAGTCATAATTCATAATATAAGGATCAACCTCAAATTTACCTGACCACTAAAAAACCATTTCTTTTTTTCTTTTAGAGTTGGACTCATTTCATTAACATTCGGCTTATCTTTACTTGTTCTATTCGCAGTAATTTCTGTGATTAGATTGCCTGATCGTGTCAATAAATTTTGTTGATCTTTACTAGGAGTTTTGTTGACCGTCGATCCCTCAGTAGGTAATGACGTTTCATAAGAGTATACATGTAATATACGATCGGTACGCGCAAGAATTACCTCATTCATGCCATCCCCATCTTGTAAAGATAAAAAAGGTGTCATATGAAAATAATAAAAATTATATAAATCAGAGAATAGTGATTGCCCGTACCAATATCAGCAATCAAGATATGATTGCAGTTAACAGGGACAGTGAATGTTAATTTAAAATGATCATTAACATTAGGCTTTATCAGTGGTGCTTGTGCTTCAGAAATTCTTCTAGTACTTGTTGGTATGTTTTCTTCTTCGGTTGTTGATGTAGGATTATGCTTCGTCATGTCAAATATGTTACAGTCCCCTTCAGCATTGACACAGACAATTGAATTCTTAATTATATGTTAAGAAAATCGTTATATATGTATACAATATATATATGTAATTGATTTATACAATTGATAACGTTTGTCAAAAATATATACCTTGCCCGAATTCTTAATATCGCCGACGGCCACACAAGTTATCTGGGTAAGTTGTGATCACGTGAGCGTTATACAATAATTAAAAGTGTTCAACAATCCCTCTCATTTTAATGAACCCACCCACCGTTCCCAATCCACTAACAGTCATTAAAGGCCGCCCCTCAATTGGATTGCCCTTGAACACACTCAACTCACCATTTAAGTTTCCAATAACAAATTCATTATCCTACAAAAAGAATTCTTGAGTGTCATATATATCTACACTTGAAAATGCTTGTTACAAATTACCTCATCATTGTCGACATCCCCAAAGGCAAAAGCGTGAGGATTCATATTTCCAGGAAAATTCCATATTAACTTATCCACCAAGCATATCGATTTCATATTTAAAAATTGTAAAAAAAATTGAAGATAAATGATCAACGTCAATGCTATTTCTGCATTTCTGTATTTATATTTATTGATTTTTGCTGATCGAAAATTTTTAAAATCATCCAATAAGATACAATCATTCACATGATGAAAATTTTTGTTAGATAAAAAAAAAAAGATTCATCATTTCCGTTTCCTCCTCTACAATTCTTCCTCCTAAGATCATAATGGCCGAGAAAAAGATCGCTAAACGGTCGGGTCAACTGACCACAGACGAAACCGCAAAACAAATTGCACAAGCTCTTTTCGATCTAGAAAACAATGTGCCAGAATTGAAAAAGGACTTGAAACCCTTACAAATTACTGATGCTAAAGAGGTTTGAAAAGTCAAAAAGGCCAAAATGATATATTCGATTTATAACATTGAATCTATTAATAAACTATCTGTTGATATTAAAGTACGAATTAGGTGGAGGTAAAAAGGCCATTGTGATTTTTGTGCCGGTTCCTACGTTGAAACAATTCCACAAGATT